CAGGTGCCGATTGGTCTACAAAATATAGATCTAGCCCTACATGTCCAATACGCCAGGAGGCGGGGAAATTGGTCCTTTACTTTGATTTTATTTACTATTTTTATAACACTCTGAAGCTAGGATTAGGCCTTATGAGCTAAGCACCCCTCCCCCCTCCCCACTCCTTTCTTGTCCCCTTCCGTCCAGATTTGTAACAATGCTTTTGTCTGCCACTCACCCAACCTCTCCTCCCCACCTGCAAATGTCGCCTGCAAACATCCCTACCCATACAGTCACAATTCAATCACAGTAACATCAATCACAAATACCTCTCTCCTCCTAGAGATACACAAATGTTTTTTCTGAAATCCCCTATGTTTTCACTTCGAAACAAACATCACTAAAGTCATTATAAAAACAGTGATTTTATAAACACTTCTAGTCAGCGATATGCACGATACCTCGATAGGATCTGACAGGAACAACTAAGCTGGCTGCGTGTGAGGTCCGTATGCTCTGTCTAAGCCGTAAGCACACAGGAGCCTAGTGTAGATAGATTTCAGGGGCGCCGGATCTTAGAGGTTCGGGTGCCTTGAACCAAAGCCGCCTTTTTGGATCTTAAAGAAAACCTTGCTAGAACAACCTCTTCCTCTCCCCAGCTTCCCCACACCACCTAGATGATTAGCTACATCTTATAGGGGATGTGCTTCGTAATGCCGGGCTGCTGGATTCAATCCCAGCTGCAGGCGATTTTTTGCCTAGCTTTGGTTTCATCAGTTATGTCGAAAGCAGTGGCGGAGGAAAACTAAAATTTGCCTAGAAGAATCACAACAGCTAACACATTTTTGGGTTGGTTCTGCAACGTCCAGAAAGCAATGGCAAACTACTGGACGTCAATTTGCCTAGAAAAACCACACAACAGCCAGGGGCTGTTGGGGTTGGTTCTGCAACGTCCTGTAAAGGATACACAACTCTCTCTAACTCACAGCGGACAAATCTCCCCTTCAGTGGAGTTTTGAACAACGGATCAACATCGTGCCACCCATATCCCATAAGTGCTCCGTTCTTCTTTAACTCAAGTCTGAGTCCGAAGAAGCTCAGTACAGTGCACAGGCTCCGTAGCACCGTCGAGGATCCTGAGATACTTTGTGTAGATTTGTACCTCAAAATTTTGCTGGGCAGCGCTGTTATGCGACTCTTTGTGATTCCAAACGGCCAGGGGATTTTTAGGTGCGCAGCAATGCACGCGGGTGTCCGATCTAACTACCCAGAAACCAGGGGGAATTACTAGAAATCAAAGTCAACGTGAAAAACTTCCAGCCTCTAGACAACGCATTCCCCCCCCCCCCCCCTTTTTTTTTTTCCCCTCCCTTTTTCGCTGAAAAAGTGCAAGTACGCCTCCCCACATGGGACACAACGCCTTCCCTCAGCCATGTGTAGACTTTTAAAATATTTGTTTATACATTTTCGATTATTTCAAATATATATATTTTTTCTTATTTATTTATTCATTCAGAATAACGGGAGCCGCCGTGATCTAACGGCTAGACACTCGCCTGTGAATCGGAAGGTCTTGGGTTCGAGTCCTGACAGTGGCCGAACTTTTTGCAAAAATTACCTTGGCTCCCACGTTGACCCAGCCTAGAATAGGTACCAGGTACAGTCCTGGGAAGTAAAGGCGATCGGTGTGGTGCTGACCATATCCCCTACCAAGTGCCATTTGGTCTATAAAATATAGGTCTAGCCCGATATACTCAAAACGCCTAAAGGCGGAGAAAAGAGTCCTTTACTGTACTTAATGATAATATTAATAATAATAATAATAACCATAATAATAATAACAACGATGCATTTCAGCCAGGCTTACGCCATTTGAAATTTGCCTCCGCTCACGAGACATTTAAATAGAGGGTTGAATCCCTTCTAAAGTCCACCCCCCCTTTTATCCGAACAAGTGCATAGGTTATCCTTGGCTAGGTTCACGTATACCTCCCCCCAAAAAGTAGGTCACTTTTCATTGACAAGTTTGTTAAGCTGGTCGACAGTCCTGAAGGTTACAGGTGTATCCCGCTCTATTGTTTGCTTTCTGTGTTGTCTTGCATTGGCGTTTTCATTCCGAGAAAGAGAATGCCTAGGACATGTGTTGCAGCACTCGCTAAGGGCGTTGTGTTAGGGCCAGTTTCGCCATGTTTTTTGGAGTGTTAGAAGCGCTGGCATGGTGAAATACACAACTCGCGATACCAACGGCATGGCGGGACACCCCCGTAACTTTGTGCCAAGGTGACGGGTCCAGGAACTACCAATCAGGAGTGAGCTAGAGTGGATAAAGAGGGCGGGGGCGGGCATAGGAAGATTACCATTAAGTGTACAGTTAGTCTGTTATGTATTAGCTTAAAAAAAAAAATTATTTCAAATATATTAATTCTAATCATTTGCAGTTCAGCAGAGAATAATAATAATAACTGTTGTTTTTATTTACCTGTGTAGATTCCCGGACCTCATAGTAACCTTGTGCCAAGGTGACAGGTTCAGGAACTACCAATCAGAAGTGAGCTAGTGTGGATATGGGTGGGGCGTGGGAAGATTAACATTACATGTGCCGTTATTCTTTTATGTATTAGTTTAAATAATTTATTCCCATTATATTATTATAAGTATTTGCAGTTCAGCAGAGAATAACAATTATAATTGTTATTATTATTTACCTGTGTGGATTCCAGGGCCTCATAATGGAGGGATACAGGAAAATAGACGACACCCCCCCCCCCCCACCACCACCTCCACCCCACAAGTATGTCGTACAAGGCGATTAAATAGGGGTGTTTTCTTTGAAGTCAGTGTGCATCTGCCTGACAGGTAACCGATCACACGTCTGTATACAAATAAGACACACCTGGGTGCTTTCCCAATATCTTCCTTCTTCAGCATGACGTTACAGGAGAGTCCAATAGTTTCGAGGGTGGTAAGAGCGAGTTTCCCGGCTTTTAGCTACCCTAAAACATCTAGAACTGGTCCTAACCCCAGCCCCCCTACGTCCCACGATAGAGTGCAGCCTATCTCTTCCCTCTCTTCTTTCATCTGCCTTTCTATTCCCCAATGGAGCATAAACCCTCAACCAACTCATGCCAAGTCGTTCTATCCTTCGCCAATACATGAAGCTCTCCCCATGTATGTCCTTCCCATCTGTGTAACTTCATTCTCCAGCTCTCTTCTACATGTTTTTTTTTTTTTTTTTTTTTGGTTTTTTTTTTTTTTTTGGTGTGCCTTCCTTTATGCCTATGCACCTGTGGGTTCCAATGCAAAGATATTCTAGTTATGCTGTTCTCCTGTTTTCTCAGTGCGTGTCCTATCCAACGCCAGCGTCTTTTCCTCACCTCTTTGTCCACTGGAGCCTGTTTAGTTCTCTCCCAAAGTTCTACATTAGTTATTCTATCATACTATTTAATTCTCTCTGTTCTGCGCAGTCACCAGTTAATGAATGTATGTAATTTATTAGTATTTGTCTTAACTTGCTTCTCTCTTTGACTTATCCATGGTTGGTTGGTTTTTGTGGCTATTGCTTTTACAGGATGAGGCAGTCAACCTCAAGCTCAACCTTAGTCGCCTCTTATGACATGCCTGGTAGGGTGCAGTGTCACTATTCTTTGCTTCCCGTGAGGCCCCGGTGACACACGGGCGGCAGCCTATCCACCACCCCCTAAAATAATGGACTGTACGTTTAGGGAAAGGGAGGATTTTGGGATAGAACCCGCAACTGTAGAACAAATGAGCACGCACAACTCAAGTCCTGGATAAAATTGGTCCAGCAGAAGTGGACAAAGAACCGCAAATTTCCTCCGGAGTTTACAACCGGTGAAGGCGAGAAAGATTATTATTATTATTATTATTATTATTATTGTTATTATTATTATTATTATTATTATTATTATTATTATTATTATTATTATTATTATTATTATTATTATTATTATATTGCACAAAAACAATTCTTATGTGAACTAGGAACTTTGCCCTTTGCATAACAAAATTACAGGGGCCCAACCACACACGCCCCTGGTCCCCTCCTTCCCCCCCCCCCCCAATTCCCAATGATTTCGGTGAGGCAGCGACTTTAGCTGATGTAACTAAGGAAAGATGGCGGTTTTGTGTCTGAACAGAGCTTGAAAATTGACCTTTGGAGATAATAATCCCTCCCTAAGGGGGGAAGAGCTGTTAACGCCGGTGAAAAGATTTTCACCAGTGAAAGTCTTGATTTCAACTTGAGTGCGCAGTCGGGGGTCCGGTCGTTTAAAAGGGTGTCGGGGCTTTCTTGGCAATAAATGATTAAGTGTCGCTTTTGGGGGTAGTCGCCTGTGTCGCGGGTAACAATGCATGACGTCATAGATATGGATACAATGAGAGATACAAATCAAATGAGTTTAGACTCTGGTAATGTTAAGGCGGCACGTTTTTGGTTCGGGGGGAATTGAATGCAAAAGGCAAAGCCTAGAAGGGACTCGTCAGAAGTCGGAAAGTCATTACAATGTACGTGACGATTTGAAATATCTGGTCTTCTTCTAGGAGGTTTAGACAACAGTTATACATTCGGGAAAGATTAAAGACGCTTTGAAAATATATGCGTGTATGTGCCTCTGCCTTTGAATGCTAATCATGACTCTCATACTTTATGCCAGCTAATTTTTAAATGATGTTGGTCTACGGGGATTGGAGCCTGGGAGCTCAAGAACCGTTGCACTCTCATCCCCCGCGCCAGAAAAAAAATTGTTAACGGGGAGATGGTCCTTGTGTAGCAGGTCCTTTGCAGAACGTTGTTCTCATCATGGTCTGTCTTTTAATAATTTTTGTCGAACAATCTCCGTTGCTGTTTATTATAAAGACTAGATATTCAAAGTGTGTGACATTTTCAATTTCTTCATCATTTATTGTTATTTTTGGGTGACAGCCAGTTTTATCTGTGGACATTATTTTAGTTTTTTTTTTTTTTTTCATTTGAAAAATGTAATTGTCAACAGAAGTAAGTACTAGTGTTTCTTGCTGGCCTCTTGTGCCTTGAGGACCCTGGCTATGCTCTTCTGTTCCTCAATGAGGAAAGCACGAATGATTCTTTCTCTGACAGCTTTGTGGCACAGTGATCATCCATATGCACGACTGACTGTCTTCTGGCGTTTGCTCAAAGCACTCAGCTTGTGGGGACGCACAGATCGCACCCCCCTGAGCTTGGTTTTGTGGCACAGTGATCATCCATATGCACGACTGACTGTCTTCTGGCGTTTGCTCAAAGCACTCAGCTTGTGGGGACGCACAGATCGCACCCCCCTGAGCTTGGTTTTGTGGCACAGTGATTCTCCATATGCACGACTGACTGTCTTCTGGCGTTTGCTCAAAGCACTCAGCTTGTGGGGACGCACAGATCGCACCCCCCTGAGCTTGGTTTTGTGGCACAGTGATCCTCCATATGCACGACTGACTGTCTTCTGGCGTTTGCTCAAAGCACTCAGCTTGTGGGGACGCACAGATCGCACCCCCCTGAGCTTAATTTTGTGGCACAGTGATTCTCCATATGCACGACTGACTGTCTTCTGGCGTTTGCTCAAAGCACTCAGCTTGTGGGGACGCACAGATCGCACCCCCCTGAGCTTGGTTTTGTGGCACAGTGATCCTCCATATGCACGACTGACTGTCTTCTGGCGTTTGCTCAAAGCACTCAGCTTGTGGGGACGCACAGATCGCACCCCCCTGAGCTTGGTTTTGTGGCACAGTGATTCTCCATATGCACGACTGACTGTCTTCTGGCGTTTGCTCAAAGCACTCAGCTTGTGGGGACGCACAGATCGCACCCCCCTGAGCTTGGTTTTGTGGCACAGTGATCATCCATATGCACGACTGACTGTCTTCTGGCGTTTGCTCAAAGCACTCAGCTTGTGGGGACGCACAGATCGCACACCCCTGAGCTTGGTTTTGTGGCACAGTGATTCTCCATATGCACGACTGACTGTCTTCTGGCGTTTGCTCAAAGCACTCAGCTTGTGGGGACGCACAGATCGCACCCCCCTGAGCTTGGTTTTGTGGCACAGTGATCCTCCATATGCACGACTGACTGTCTTCTGGCGTTTGCTCAAAGCACTCAGCTTGTGGGGACGCACAGATCGCACCCCCCTGAGCTTGGTTTTGTGGCACAGTGATTCTCCATATGCACGACAGACTGTCTTCTGGCGTTTGCTCAAAGCACCCAGCTTGTGGGGACGCACAGATCGCACCCCCCTGAGCTTGGTTTTGTGGCACAGTGATCATCCATATGCACGACTGACTGTCTTCTGGCGTTTGCTCAAAGCACTCAGCTTGTGGGGACGCACAGATCGCACCCCCCTGAGCTTGGTTTTGTGGCACAGTGATCATCCATATGCACGACTGACTGTCTTCTGGCGTTTGCTCAAAGCACTCAGCTTGTGGGGACGCACAGATCGCACCCCCCTGAGCTTGGTTTTTTGTGGCACAGTGATCATCCATATGCACGACTGACTGTCTTCTGGCGTTTGCTCAAAGCACTCAGCTTGTGGGGACGCACAGATCGCACCCCCCTGAGCTTGGTTTTGTGGCACAGTGATTCTCCATATGCACGACTGACTGTCTTCTGGCGTTTGCTCAAAGCACTCAGCTTGTGGGGACGCACAGATCGCACCCCCCTGAGCTTGGTTTTGTGGCACAGTGATCCTCCATATGCACGACTGACTGTCTTCTGGCGTTTGCTCAAAGCACTCAGCTTGTGGGGACGCACAGATCACACCCCCCTGAGCTTGGTTTTGTAATCACCACTTATTGGTGTCTTTGCAAGCTTTTTCTGGTACAAATAAACCAACTTTCCACCGGGAGTCTTTGAGACCTTGCGGCGGTTGGAATTTGTGTTGTATGAGAGGCGGCGTCTGAAAGTAAGTCGCTGAACCATCTTATCTCAGTAACTCACTAGTAAAAATCGTATAGGTATTTAGTAATAATGTTATCTTGAAATTAAAGAACATATTTTGATCTTTCCTGTGCTTTTGGACAGACAATATTAAATTTTCTATTCCCTTTACGCTTTTCGAAATGAAGACTGTGTCATGTGCGTAGCGGAGAATCGGAATAGGGTTGTAGTTATCTCAAAACCACGGAGCCGGACACAATCACAGTTTAAGAACCCCAGATTCAAAGCGCCCTCTCGTGTTAAATAGCCGATAACCATATCCGAAACACCCGGGACAGTTTTTCCTGGCTTTCCCCCGGTCCCTCTTTCATTTCAGGCCCTTTGGGCGATAGCTAGTCATTTACTTCCCTTGGGTCACTACCCAAACTCGGCCGATCTAAACAAAAGCGTCCCGTAAACCCTTAATTATGGGGCCCTTGATGGATGGTACCCACAGGCCGTAGTTAACCGTGAGCTGTAAACGTGTCATAGCTCCACGGCCCGGTCGCCCGGAAGAGGAGGCGCCCGTATTAAGAGGGACTAGATGAGACTATGCGGAGTGTAGAGTTTAATAATGAAGATTACTATCAGTGAATATATTTTCGGGAGAAAGTCGTTGTCAATGTTCTCACTGATAATAGTTAGTAACTATAGTCTTATCAGTCTTACGGTCGGATGGGTGGGTGGTGAGTGGAGTGATAGATAGAGAAATGTAGACGGGTCTACACTAATAAATCATGTTAGCGCGAGGGTGAGGGTGAGGGAGGGGGGGGGGGTGAGGGTGTTCAGCTCGCTCATCCATTTTCTGGGGAGATGCCTAAACGTAGTTTAAGTGATTAATAATAATAATAATAATAATAATAATAATAATAATAATAATAATAATAATAATAATAATAATAATAATAATAATAATAATAATAATAATAATAATAATAATAATAATAATAATAATAATAATAATAATAATAATGTGGTGACTTGCAAAAAAATTAATAATATATTACAAATTCATTTCTTCTTCTACTCCTCCTTTTTTTCTCCATTCCTGGAGTACCTCACAGTGTCAAGGCAGGAAGGCATCTTTTTGCGCCCTTCTGTTCGCTTCATACAAAGTACTTTTCAGTGTCACTGATTATTTCTGCGGTCCATATTCTGTCTGCGTGATCGACTTCTGGATCTTTTACGGTTGTAACCATACAACATATCTCTATGTGGTGCCCCGTCTGCTGATAATCTTATTACATGACCAAACCATTTGATTTGTTGTTTATGTATACAGATTGTCGGCTCTGTGGCTAAATCGATGCAAGCGCTTCGTAATGCCGGGATGCCGGTTCGATCCCAGCTGCGGGCCATGCACCTTGCGTTGGTTTCGACAGTGGTATCAAGAAAGCCGACCGTCCAGTGGCAACGGCAAACTACTGGACGTAAATTTGCATAGAAAAACGACACAACAGCCAAGGGATGTTGGGGTTGGTTCTGCAACGTCCTGTAAAGGATACGCAACAAACCTTATAAACAGTTCACTATTGGTTCTGTGTCATCTCTCCCCCTGATATTGTCGTTCGTAAGTCGATCTTTCAATGTTACACTAAGTATGATACGTGAACATTTAATTTCTGTCGTGACTATTTTCTTTCTGTCTTCTGATGAGAGTGTCCATGTTTGGCATTGATAGCATAGCGTTGATAAGAATATTATGTTTAAAAGTATTCTTTTAGTGTTCATATTCACACCCTTGCATTTTAAAACTGGTGCACCTGGCATAAACTTGTTTGGCTTCATTAGATCGTTGTTTGATTTCATTATTAATTCTTTAGTCTTCATAACAAAATGTTGCCCAGGTATGTAACAACCTTCGCCTGTTTTAATTGGTGTTCATAAATTTTGGTGGTTCTTCTTTTCTGATTTGATTTAATTTGATATGATTCAAGAACCGACATCTCAGCACTCAGGGCATTCACATAAGCGCTCCGTCCCTATCTTCAGCAGCCAGCGAAAAGTTCCGATATTAATGTTGCCAGTAGCATTCTGATTAAACGTCCGTCCTGCCTTTCCTCTGAGCCTCGAGCATCTGCCAGAACCTCTCGTCACTCCCAGCTGCATTAATATCACCAGACTGTGGTGATCCATCTGCTCCTCCGAACTGTACACGCTCTTCCACAAGGCACTAACCACGTCTGCCTAATCATGTATCAGTATTCCATCAAGTTGTCCAGAGCCAGGCAGTCTCTCCGCCTGTTGATTTCCCAACACACCGGCGTACCCCGGTGAAAAAATCCAGACAATACCCCTCACCCGTGTCTTCGCAGCGAAGCATGCCACTCTGCATGAAGGATACCTTAATATTGCCTTTTCTTGAGAATGTCATCACTTTTGTTTTGTCTACGTTGATCGTTAAATCCTAGTTGTCGCATTCTGAGTGGAGTCTATTAATATGTTCTTGTAGTTGCACTCTTGTTGGTGCTATGATTGGCTGGTCTTTGGCGAAAAGAGTTCA